ACACACACACACACACACACACACACACACACACGGGCACACTCTCACACACACACACACACACACACGGGCACACACACACACACACGCATACACAACTTACCCCTCTGCGCTCTGCAAGGAAACGAAGAGATCTGAGAATTTACCGGTGAGAAGAGTACAGGAGAGAGTGAGCTTCAATTCTTTACATCAGTACAAATGGGTTTGTAGAAAGATCCGGAGTTATATTCAAGGAGACAACTTGGAATGTGGGGCTTGGAGAGGGTGGACGGAGTGAGGGGCGCAACGTCAGTGGGTGCTTGTGTCTCTGCTGACTCTTAGGCAAGGAATGGTCAAGGCAGGTGCAGGGGACTCTGCGACTTGGTGTAATCGTGCCAAAAATAATCGACAGCAACAGAATGCTTTTATTACTTTTATATAATCTTCTCTGGGGAGCTAAGAGCACGCCATTTCTTTCTCACAACATCCCTTAGGGTGGGAATGCAAGAGAATTTTACACCACGTGGGAATGGCGGTACAGGACTGCGATCTGACGTCCTTGAAGGTGCCTCACCAAACTGATGGTTCCTAGACCTAAATAAAAAGAGAATAGAGAAATGGACGACCCATCCAGCACCGTGGCAAATTCAGATGGCCCCAAAAGAGTGGAGAGGAGTATGAGAAAAGGGTATGTTGGTAAATATGACAAGTTTCACCCTGGGGTCTCTCTCAGATAAGGAGACAGCCATCTGGGTCCACTCTTATTTAGCTGGGATACACAGAATAGGACAACTTGGAAGAAGGGAGAAGTTGGAGGCAGCTAGCATACACACACCAGGAAACAAAACCAAGGCACAAGGTCATTAATTAAATAGTGGAAGCAGGGCCTGGTACAGATTCTGAGGTCTTAGGTGGTATGCATGAAGTGAGGCGGCTGGTTATACCTGGCCAGGTTCAAGGAGAAATGTTCATGCAGTTCACCAAAGTAAACTCTTAAACAGAAGTTCTTAACCTATTTTGGTCCCTGCCTCCTTGGAGATTATGTTCAAAGCTCAGGGTCCTTTTCCCAGAGAATATGTGTAGGACAAACAAAATTTTGTGGAGTTTTCTTGGAGTACTTGGACCCATTGGAGCTCCAAAAGGTGGCAAAAGAGGTTAAAGTGATAACAGGGATTAAATCAACTGTGCTATTTGGTTCTCTTCCATTTCCCCCCTCCTCTTTCTTTCTTTACAACAGGCAGTAGGAGCACCTGGGTGGCTGAGTCTGTTAAGTGTCTGACTTTGGCTCAGGTCATGATCTCATGGGCTGTGGGTTCGAGCCCCACAGCAGGCTCTGTGCTGACAGCTAGGAGCCTGGAGCCTGCTTCGGATTCTATGTCTCCCTCGCTCTCTGCCCCTCCCCCACTCACACTTTGTCTCTCTCACTCTCAAAGATAGATAAACATTAAAAAAAAAGTTAAAAGAAAACAGGCAGTAAACATCTGAAGATGTTTTGAATGTTTCTAAGGAAATAAGCACTCCATTTTGTTTCCTTTCTTTTTTGTGATGTCTATTATTATTTATAAATTATTAAAAAATGTTTATGTTCATTTATAGTTGAGAGAAAGAGAGCCAGAGTGCAAGCGCAGAGTGAAGGAGTCAGAGGATCTGAAGCAGGCTCCATGCTGTCAGTGCAGAGCCCGATGAGGGGCTTGAGCCCTCAAACTGTGAGATCATGACCTGAGCTAAAGTCGAACACTTAAACAAGTGAGCCACACAGGCGCCCCTGTGAAGTCTAAATGTTAGTCCAAAAGCCACAAGGTTGTGTACTATACTGGTTGAGGAGCTTTTAGGATGCTTCCTGCCTTGGAGCATAAAATGAGATTTTATTATGCTCAAACTGTGGTGAGACCATTGAAAGTGCCACCAAGAAGCAAATCCCTAGGGGAGAGATGAACAACTTTGCATTTTCGGTTAGAATGGAAATATAAATTCTGTTTACTGAAGAAAATATTTTCAGTATAATCAAGGATGAAATTTTTTGAAGTAATAATGTTTTTAAATAACAATCATTTTCCTTGACCCCTTTCTTCTGGCTCAACAAAGATGGTCTGTGAGTGAGTGGTCTACAGAGGCCAGAGGTCAGACCTGTCCTGTTAACGTCTAGAGAAAATCAATACTTTTTTATTCTTATTCATCACAGGGTGCAAATCACCATGCTTTACATAGCAAAATGTATATAGGTAAAGATTAACGATGACATTTAATAAAAAAGATTGCTTTAAGCAGTAGGTCTCTGTGTTAGTTTGCTTGAGCTTCCATAACAAAATACAGTTGACTGTGAATCACAATTTATTTTCTCACTGTTCTGAAGATTACAAGTCCCAGATGAAGGTCTGGCAGGCTCGGCTCCTGGTGGGAGCTCTCTTCCTGGCTTGTACACGGCTGCCTTCTCACAGTGTCCTCCCTGTTGCAGAGAGAGAGAGACAGAGAGAGAGAGAGAAAATTCTGATCTCTTCCTCTTCTTTTTTTTTATGTTTCTTTTTTTTGAGAGGAAGAGAGAGAGTGCAAGCAGGGGAGAGGCAGAGAGAGAGGGAGACAGAGAATCCCAGGCAGGCTCCACGCCACCAGCGTGGAGCTGGACTCTGCCTCCAGCTCATGAACTGTGAGATCACAACCTGAGCCGAAATCCAGAGTTGATCACCCAACCAACTGAGCCGTCCGGGCGCCCCTCTTCTTCTTCTTATAAGGACTCTAATCCCATCATCGGTACCCTGTCCTCATGACCTCATCTAAACCTAATTACGTCCCAAAGTCCTGCCCTCTAAGTACCATCATATTGGGGGGTAGGGCTTCGGCCTGTGAATTTGGGAGAACACAATTCAATTCATAGCGGTATCATTTTTGCTTGATTGAATATAGCTTTTGGGTTAGGGTATCCTGGAAAGTCATGTTGGAGATCTGTTAAGGTCCTTTCTCTGCCTCAACGGTACAAAGCCCCCAAATGTTTTAGAACTGCAGGTTTACGTATTATTTAAGGTTCACGGAAAACCAGTAAATGTTCTGTGACTTCATGGAGGCCAAACCTCATATAACCATCCTAAAACTCAGTTGATTATAAAGATTAAACATAGATTATAATCTTTGACAAAGACAGGTAGTTTGGCTGGAAAACATTTAAGCAATCTTAATCCTAATTCTTAAAACCCTTTCGAAAACTCTGTCTTGAGATGAAAATTTCCATCTTTCTTTAGATCCCTGCTGTCCAGTAGAAATATAATGCAAGCCTTACATAGAATTTAAAGTTTTCTATTAGCCATATTAAAAATACTAAAAATAAACAGGTTAAATTCATTGTAATATATTTTCTTTAACCCAGTGCATTAAAAATAATACATTTTGACATGTAATCAATATAAACATTAATGAGATATTTTACGTTCTTTTTTTGGTACAAAATTTTGAAAATAGTGTGTATATTATACTTGGAGGGCAAATCAATTCAAATTAGCCAAATTTCAAGTGCTCAATAGCCACATGTGGCTAGTGGCTACCTCACTGGACAGCTCTGATTTAGAGGAACTATGATTTGAACCATGCTATTGATATCCATACAGATGATTGCAACATTATTTGTTTTATTAATAACTTTCAAAAAAGGAGATAAGCAGGATGGTATTATTGGATTTAAAACTTTATAAATCTTTGCTTGGAGTGTCTGGAATTGAAAATCCTGTCCTAGGTAGATTCTGGAATCTTTCAGGAAGCTTTAATAAAGATAAATATTGACTTTTCAGTTTAATGACAATTCCCCATCAGAAAGGTCATGGAAAGAATGGGCAACCCTGCTTTGGTCCCAATTTATCAATTTGTTTTTGGCCTAACTCATAGTTCCTCTTTCATTTACTTTATGGGTTTTAGTTATTACATTTTATTTTATTCTTTTACTTATTTATTTATTTATTTATTTATTTATTTATTTATTTATTTATTTATTTTTAGTGCTTTATTTTTGAGAGAGAGAGAGAGACTGAGAGACAGAGAATCCAATGCAGGCTCCAGACTCTGAGCTGTCAGCACAGAGCCCGATGTGGGGCTTGAACTCGTGAACCGCGAGATCATGACCTGAAGTCAGACGCTTAACCGACTGAGCCATCCAGGCACCCCTAGTTATTGTATTTTAAAGGAAAGGAAGAAGTATCTCTAAGAGATTACTTAAGTGAAAATGAGATCTTAGAACACTCCACAAATACTACCTTATATTTATATAGGACTTCTCTTATAGGAGTGCAAAGATATTTATACATTGTCTAATTCTCTGAATTGCTATATGAGGTTGGTTGATACTGCTATTCCAATTTTGCAAATGAGGAAAATCCCAAGACTAATTTTTAGTGCAACTTGGGGATGGTATACTGGTTTTCTGACAATCTTGAATGTGATGCATTAACCTTGCTACATTTCTGTCATTTCTTTAAAATAAATACTTAATGTTCTTTTTTTTTGAGATCTAACTCATATGCAGTAAAGAATATAAATCTGAAGCATACACCTCAATCAGTTTCTTTTATTTTGATATACATCCATGTAAATCCCCTGCCCCAGATTAAGATACAGAACATTTCCAGCCCACCAGCATGCTCCCTGTGGTCCCTCCCAGCAGATAACCCCCGCCCCCCCGGGAAACCACAGTTCCAAAACCACAGCTCAATTTGTACCTGTTCTTGAACTTCATATAGATGGAATCGTAGTGTATGCTATCTTGGATCAGGTTTCTTTTGGTCAACTTTACATCTGCGAGATTCATTCATATTGGGTATAGTGGCAGTTCTGTCTTCCATTGCCGTGTATAAACCTACCAGAATTTTTTTTAGCCATTCTGTTAATGGATATTCTTGTACATTTTTTTTTCTTTTTTTAACTGAAGTATATTGACGTGCAGTGTTCCATCAGTTTCCGGTGTACAGTATGATGATTTAACAATTCTGTACATTGCTCAGTGTGCGTCAAGATAAGTGGGCTCTTAATCCCTTTTATCTGTTTCATCTTTTCCCCCACCCATCCCTCCTCTGGCAGCCACCAATTTGTTCTGTTTTTAAGATTCTGTTCTTTTATTTGTCGCTTTTCCCCCCTCTGTTTTGTTTTAAAATAGTTTTTTTTAAGTGTACTTATTTTGGGAGAGAGAGGTGGGGTGCAGAGAGAGAGAGAGGGAGAGAGAGAATCCCAAGCAGGCTCCACGCTGTCAGCACAGAGCCTGACGTGGAGCTTAATCCCATGACCTGTGAGATCATGACTTGAGTCTAAATCAAGAGTCCATGCTTAACTGGCTGAGCCACCCAGGTGCCCCCATTTGTTTTGTTTTTTAAATTCCATATATGAGTGAAATTATATGCTATTTGTCTTTCTCTGACTGACTTATTTCACTTAGCATTATACCATCTAGATCCATTTATGTTATTGTAAATGGCAAGATCTCAATTTTTTATGGCCGAGTAATATTCCATTGTATGTCTATACCACATCTTCTTTATCCTTTCGTCTGTGGATGGACACCTGGGTTGCCTCTGTATCTTGGCTGTTGTAAATGCTGCAATAGGTGTAGGGGTGCATATGTCCTTTCAAATTATTACTTTCATTTTCTTTGGGTGAATACCCAGTAGTGGAATTACTGGATTATATGGTAATTCTATTTTTAATGTTCTGAGGAAC